TTTTTTTTGAGTATAGTTTTTTTATAAAAAAATTAAACCCACAATAAATCTAAATATTCCAAATTCTGTTTGAATGTAACCATAAAGATCTTCTAAATACACCATTCAACAACATTTAATCAAATGTTTTAAGAGTTATTAACAGAATCTGAAATGTAGATGTGAGGGTTGGGGACAGCTACTTCCCTATAAATGATGTTTTTGTATATTATCACTATATCTCATGGAATGCCTTGTGTTTGAATAGACCATAACATATTCTTAGTAAATATCTATGTCTGAATACTTCATGTTTTTTTTTAAATCGTTGTTCTTGTTGTGGGACCACACTTTGCACTAATTAGAGTCAGTGGCGAACCGTCAGGGCCTTCAAGGTATTCAGAGAATACCCTGGAACACTCAGATAAAACAAACAAAACATCAATTTAATTATATAAATAAAATGTAATAAAATGTATATAAAATATAAATAAATGAGAATGGTATCTGTGTTGTTGATCTGTAATATTACAGTGTTACGTTGATTTGTTTGTCCTTCTCGGACCATGCACTACTTCAGTAGTTTTCTGTTAGAAAAGAAAGCAACCAATCAGATCTTGTTCTGGGTCTCTGGGTAGAATATCCTTCAACAAGGTATTCTACATCCTTGATAGAAGGCCCTGGCCGTTGCACTGAATGAGAGCGTACGTTTGGACTGACAGTTTGATCAACCAATCAGATATTGATTTGTAGCCAATGGGCGTGTTCTTTCAGAGTTCCCCTCGGTTCCAGGTGCTCTAGAAGGCCCGCTAGTTAACTGGAGCGAGACAGAGGATAGATGAATGCCACGAAGCAATTCATGGCGTTTTATTGTTTTTAACGTTGAAATGACAAGTGCAACAGGTGAAGATGAAGTTGTTGCGGAATTGTTGTGAGTACCCTTTTCAAGACGACAATTCAGTGAAAAGACGGACATTATAATGTTGGGGGGGCGGGGGGTGTGTGTGTCTACAGAAGGTCCAGGTGTGATAGACACGGTTCGCCACTGATCTTAATGGGCCAATCATTCAAACAGCTCCAACCCAGTTGTGGACGTCAGAAAAACAGTAGAAGAAATGAGTTTGGTTGACACGAATGTATAAATAAATGCAAATATTAATCTAATGTAAACTCCTAATATAGTTGTTTCTGTTTGATATCATTAGAGATGCTTTTTAGTGGTGTGTCCTTTGAGAGGAAACTGCTCAACAGAACATTAAATAAAATAAATGGATACACCAATAATAGTCATGAACATATCGGAAGCTGCCTTCAAAATCATTTTCAACACAATGTACTTGTGTTTGAACTCACCATCTTATCAAATTCAGCGAAGAATGACGGGGCGGTGGCATTCTTCAGAGTGCACACATTGAAAACAGAGAAGAGTCAACAATCAGGACTTGTCAATATATGATTATATAACATTCACACAAGAGAGGGAATCCTCAAAGAACATGCAGACAGGGAATAAGAGTTGGGACTTTGAGTGTCAGTTACAGCCAGGACGTTCAGGAACAGGAAGTAGAGACGTGTCAACATTAAGGACATTAAGAAGTGGGACATTAAGAATAGGAAGTAGAGAGTCAGGATGCAGAGTCAGGAAGTAGAGAGTCAGAGACTCAGGATGCAGAGAGTCAGAGAGTCAGGATGCAGAGAGTCAGGATGCAGAGAGTCAGGAAGTAGAGAGTCAGAGAGTCAGGATTCAGAGAGTCAGAGAGTCAGGATGCAGAGAGTCAGGATGTAGAGAGTCAGGATGCAGAGTCAGGAAGTAAAGAGTCAGGAAGTAGAGAGTCAGGATGCAGAGAGTCAGGATGTAGAGAGTCAGAGAGTCAGGATGCAGAGAGTCAGGGTGTAGAGAGTCAGAGAGTCAGGATGTAGAGAGTCAGGATGCAGAGAGTCAGGATGTAGAGAGTCATAGAGTCAGGATGTAAAGAGTCAGAGAGTCAGGATGCAGAGAGTCAGAGAGTCAGGATGTAGAGAGTCAGGATGCAGAGTCAGGAAGTGGAGAGTCTCTACATCCTGACTCTCTGACTCTCTGCATCCTGACTCTCTGACTCTTTACATCCTGACTCTATGACTNAACTCAATCCAACTTCCCTCCCATACATCCTCCCATCCCGCGAGCGGAGCGAGCCGACATAATTATTAACCCATCACACGCGTGCCCCGGGACGCGGCGCACCTATCATAATGGTCGTGCTAAAACAATATGCTACACCCGATAGTTGTTCAAATGCCAGCGCTGACATAACTGGTTCATTTTTCACTCAGGGTCTCCGTGCTGGTCGAACTCTTGGTGACTCAATCCCATATTCCTGGTTTGGTCCCGAAACACTAAAGGAAGCCATGGCAGTTTAAAAAAGGTTTAATGAGATGATGGAATCAAAGCTGAACTATATAAAAAGGCACACATGCTGTAAACCCAACCCCAGCAGGGGGGTCTGGGGGTATTCTCCCCCACGAGATTTTTAGAAATACTAACATAAACTATGCATTCTGGTACACTCTGAGAAGAAAATAAATAAATCTAATACTACCCGACATATTAATAATATTTTATGCCATTGTTTGTTTTTCACTTTGTTCTGACTCTTGCTGCGAGACGAGTAAAGAGGAGATAGTCTGTGTGACTTACTTTAAATTGTGGGTATGGGTAGATAGCTCCCATTGTTCTGTGACCTGTCAATCATCAAACCGGGGGTCATATTTCATTATGTGTTCCTTTTTATCTGAAGTTGTACCCATGGGTGTATAAAGAAGAGTTCTACCGCAAAGTTATTCTCCGTGGGGAGTTCCGGCAACAATCTTGATTCTGAGTGGCCAGAAGACTAAAAAACATCAGCAAAGATGTTTTATTGAGAAGATGATCACTATGTGACAGAAGTATTCAAAACCGTTTATGGTCTCCCGTACTTCCAGTACTGCCATGAGAGAACTCAAAATTAAGTTTCAAAAATCCGACACTGAGTTGGTCTTAACGCACCGGTAGATGACAGCGCTGACAAAGTGTGTTTCCCGCAGTGAGACGCTACAATACTAATTGTGGGCTTATCATGTTGATTCGGCCACAACAGAAAAAAGAAAAACAAACTCTCACTCTCTCCAGAGCGGCAGGTCAGATAAAAAGGCCAAACGGGCCGTTGCCCGGGCAACATTAGCCCGTACCTGTATTGGAAGTGTTTACCTGTATGGGACGTGTTTACTAGCTGTGGCTTATTTTATGGAGATGTGCTCCTGTGTCACTTTTTAGAGTGTTTACTTTTGTCACTTTCTTCTATAAGAAAGTACAAATCAGTTTCCTCTTTCTTTTTCTCTCCCGTTTTTCTTGACATGTTGTTGTTACTTCCCTCTTACCCCTATTGTGGAACGTAACACATGTGTACATCATTGTTTTTATTTTGCAGATGGTAAAGTTAGTGATGAAAGTGAACTTTAATTACTTAAAAAAAAGATGTTTAAGGGATATTAATCCATAATAGTAAATCAGAATTTATAAATTGATTTATAACTTTTATTAAAAATGTGAAGCAGCAATGTAACTAATAACTAATTTGGTTAAATAAATGTAGAGACGTACAACGTAACACTGTTTATTCCAATTTGTAATAGAGAAGAAGTATTACATTAACTAAAATGGAAATACTCAAGTAAAGTACAAGTAGGCTACCTCCACAGTCTTACTCGTTAATTACAGTAATAAAGTAAATGTACTTATTGCCACCACTGGGTATCACTACTTTTAATGAAGTAAAAGATGAGAATAGCTGCACTGGTCAGTTTTACATAAGGTTTTCACAGCGTGCGCACAATACTCCTGTTGTCCGGTGTGGATGAACAGAAGCAAGAAAATACTTTCATAACTGTTTATTCAAAGAGGGAGGCAGGGCGCGTGGGGTTATGGGATACATGGAGAGGGGGGTGAGACACAGATTATCTGAGGGGCGCGGCTCTCTTCCAGGATCCTCTGCGCGCTCTCTCCTGAGGGGCTCACTCCTCTCCTCCCTCTCTCCAAGCCCTGCGCCTAATGGAAAATAAAAGGATGAACTCTTTAGTGAAATGGACGCTTATCCTCTTCGTCCTTGCCTCCATCATCCTCAACATCGTCCTGATCGGCATCCACTCCAGCAGGGCGCCCAAATGCTCCGCTCAGCGCGTGCACCCGCTGCGGCGCAAACACGACGAGCGCAGCGCCGTGTTCGCGGACCTCTCCCGGGAGGAATACCTGCAAGTCCAGCAGTTCATGCTAAAGCAGAATAACTTGGAAATATCCACCAACCAGATCTCCAAGCCGTCGGATAACTTCCTGTTTCTAATAGATCTATCTGTGCCAAATAAGGCGGACGTGCTCGCGTATTTGGACCGGAATGGCGCCAAGCCGACCAGAGAGGCCACAGTGGTGGTGTTTTACGGTGCCAAAGGATACATCAAAGAGTACGTAGTGGGCCCTCTTCCCAACCCAACATACGTCAACGATGTCACCATGGAGAGGTACCACGCGGAGCTGCCCATCAGTGCGCGCACGGTCACCATCGGGGAATATAATCTGCTTTTCCAGTTTTTGGGAAACGTCTTCTCTAAACTGGGGAAGCTCATGAAGGAGAGCTTCGATATGGGTCCGGACAAGCAGCTGAACGCGTTCGAGCAGATGCCCCGTGGAGTCCGGACCGGGGACAGGAAGACCTGGATCTCCTTCTTCAGGGACATGAGCGGCATGTACATCCACCCGGTGGGCTTCGAGGTGCTGGTCGACCACCAGAACGTCAACGCGTCCGAGTGGACGGTGGAGAAGCTGCTCTATAACGGACAATATTTCGATTCCATAGACGCACTGAAGGATAAATACGATAAGGATCTCGTAAAGAAGATCGTCTATAAGGAGTCCCCTGATTATGGCTCTCTTAAACCCAGGAACAAGCCCCTGCAGGTCGGTCCGCAGCTCTTTAACGCGGAGGGTAAGCGCTACAGTGTCAGCAACAACCACGTCGTGTACATGGACTGGAGCTTCGCCTTCGGGCTCAGCGCGCTCATGGGCATGAGGGTGTTCGACGTGCGCTTCAACGACGAGAGGATCGTGTACGAGCTGAGCGTGCAGGAGGCCATGTCCGTGTACGGGTCGGTCACTCCCGGGATGATCCTGACAAAGTTTCTGGACTCCAGCATCGGGATTGGCCGCTTTGCGCACGAACTGGTCCGCGGGGTGGATTGTCCCTACGAGGCGAGCTACGTGGACACATACCGCTACATTGATGTCCCCAAACCGGTCCGCTTCAGGAACTCTATCTGCATATTCGAGCACAACATGGGCCAGCCCCTGAGGAGGCACTTCTCCGACTTCTTCCACCACAGCTACGGGGGCATGGTGAACAGCGCGCTGGTGTTCAGGACCATCACTGCCATAGGGAACTATGACTACATGTGGGACTTCATCTTCTACCAGAGCGGGTCCGTGGAGGCCAAGGTGCACGCGACTGGATACATCTCCTCCTCCTACCTGGTGGACGGGGCTCTGCGGCACGGACACCAGGTGGCGGAGAAGGTGCTGGGGAACATCCATACACACTTCATCAACTTCAAGGTGGACCTGGATGTGTTGGGTGAGTGGCAGTGATGCAAATACACAGTGCTGTGGTGTAGAGTACCTAATGACCTGTAATCAAGTACTGTACTTGAGAATTTAAATGTGTTGCTGCTTCTCCTCAACTATAATTAAATATTCCTCACGACGTTGACCTGTAATGCAGATTGGTCCATTTCAGAATAATATATATGATATGTTTTTTAATGATTGATCATGAAAGTGTTCTCAAAGCTGGTAAAGGTGCAGCTAGTTTGAAGGACTTTGTATACTGCAGGGTAGCTTGTGGATTTACTCCAGGTGGAACTAAAGTCTGATTTAACACTTGATTATATTTCACATCATTCATCCACATCTGTAAAGTAACTAAAGGTATTAAATACATGTAGTGGAGTAAAAGTACACCATTTACCTCTGAACTGTAGTGGATTAGAAGTACAAAGTAGCAACAAATTGAAATACTCAATACTTGAGTGAATGTACTTAGTTACTTTACACCACTGAGTGTCAGTGATGTGTTTAAAGACAGGGATTGCTAATACATTTACTCAAGTGCAGTGGTATAAAATAAAGAAGCTATTTTCAAACAATAGGTTTTGAGAAGTCATTCAAAATATGTTACTGATAACTCAGCCTCAGGTTTCACTGAACAAAGCCTGGTTAGTTTCCAGAGGCCCTGCCCGAGGATCTGAGCATCAACTCAGGAATGTGACTGTGAGCTAAACCATGAAGGGATTAAAAATGAGTCAGCAAAATATAATCTAAAACGTAATTGTAGTTGAAGGGAGGATGGAAATAATGCTAACACCAAGAGAAGAATCTGTTATCATTTGTCAGTCTGTTAGTTATAACAAAAACAACTGACGTCCCCATCATGCCCGGAGCTGTAGCCAGGACGGGGTCAAGAGTTCAAGCCCCAATACCCCCAAAACTGGTTACCTGACACCAGGAATGTGTGGTGGCTCAGAAGCAGGTTAGTGGTTCATGGTTAGTCAACAAAGTTCAAACCGGATGGATAGTCTTCACTATAACTTGAAATTAATTAAATAACATTTTATTTGGCTGAAGTTTTTATCCAAAGCGACTTACAATAAGTGCAAAAATCATAAAGATTAAAATATTAGGAAACACATCAAGTACCTGACAAGGATTGATTGTGAATCAAAATGACCTAAGCAGATCAGTTTTGGCTTTCATGCTACAAGAGAAATTAAGTATTGTGAAAAACATTTTTGCTTTCTTTCTTCTGCAGGAGTAAAGAATTTCTTTCAGACCAAAGACATGGAATATGTCAATGTTTCGCTGCCATCGGTGCCTGATCACTATGCGATGGTGCCTCAGCTGGTGGAGAAGCAACTGAAAACAGAAAAGGTCTGGCTCCCTTTATGCCTTTAGTCACTTGCCTTTAGGTTTCTTTTAACAACATGTAGAGGAGAGTGTGTAAAAAAGACAGTGTGGAGACCGCATGAAGTGTTGTTTTGGTTCCAATTGATCACTGTCGGGAACAATGTAAGGTTTTTCCTAACTTTTCCTAAATATTAGGTTAGATTGCGTAGTGTGTTCCTCTCCTGTAGTGTTATATAGGTTTTTGTGATTGTAGTTGGTCTGCAAAGGCTAAAATCCTCCCTACATCCCTACATCGTTTCAGGCATCCACCTGCCTGAAACGTCTCCATTGGACTCCTTTGTTTACTTCCGGGGAACATAGTGACATCCCTCGCGCTTCTTCTGGCTGGCGCTCCAACACATTGCACTTGACAGGTTAAGGGGCGGGACATCTATAAGCGGTTGACCAATCACAAACGAGCAGGCCAGCTAACCAATCAGAGCAGACAGTGCTCTGGGTATTTGTCACTTTACATCTTATCTTTCTTATAAACGTATATATCACATTTAACATAATAAATAGCAAGCGAATTTGCAACAACGCTTCCAGCACGACTCACCCTTAGCAATGCTAATGTTTGCTTCCTGTTTGTTATCTCCGCTCTCCCCTCACAGTCGAGGGCGGAGATAACAAACAGGAAGTAAACAATAACCTGCAACGTTAAAAAATGTTTGCTAGGAACGTAACTTAACTCATAGAAATAAAGTACACAACTTATTACAAAGGAAACATTCACAAACAAATAATTATTCACACACATTTTTAACTCACATGAGCTGTAACTGTCAACCCAGGATGTAATAGTATGTGCTGTTTATTACAATGAAAGCTTCCTTAGTACCCCATTGTTGCAACAGACCATCTTGACTGTAGGTAGGGGGACCAGGTGTCCCGCTTTGTGCGGGACTGCACAGCATTTTGATCATTTGTCCCACACATTTTGCCGATCCCCCGCATTTGATTGACAGTCGCCCGTCTTAAATAAGGCTTTTTTACAAAGGTGTGCAGAAAACGAGAGGACTATCATCACCTTTAGCTGTATCAGATGTCAATCAATCAACAGAGAAATGTATTAACTTATGGGCAGGGCCGCCCCTCCCTACACGCAGAGTGTGTGGGGCTGCATCTTATGCGCAAATGCAGCGCAATTATGCGCGACAGTTTCCCCGTAGTGAGGCTCCGGCGCTAACAGTCACGAGCCTGCTCTACTACCACCCCCTTCGATCTATGGATATATTCCTCCTGAAACCAAAAGAGATGAGGTAACAGCAGCTGATTTAATTAACGTTTAGCATACAGGGCAGCAGACCTATTTTTAGGCAATAGCATAGGCCTCAGATATATAAAAGATATATAAAAAACATGTCTATCAAGTGTTTTGCTCAAAATCCCAAACAGATCACCCATTCTAGCCATGCCTCATATCCCTCCATTTCACTTCCTGTTTCAAAAGTGCTGATTTGGGGTATAAAGCTTTAAAAAAAGAAAACAGGAGGGGGCTGAGCTCATGCGGGAGATTCTACCGGCAGATAGCCTACTGTCTAAACCAGGGGTCGGTAACCTTTTTGATATGAAGGGCCATTAAAAAAAAAAAAATCTGATTAGTGAACTGTCAACTGGAGGGTGGGGGGAGCCTCGCTGCGGGGAAGCTGTGGACCTCTGTTGCCTGTCAGCGCAACTTACATGATGCAGTTTAAACACAGTTAAATAAATAAAGGGCGGTGCCGGCCGCCAGCAAACCGAGC